AGAGAGAGAGAGAGAGAGAGAGAGAGAGAGAGAGAGAGAGTTGATGGTCCGACGTCCTGGAGACGCCAGACCACCGAGCAGACAGCGAACAGTGAGGGAGAGAGGTGGACGAAAGACAGGCTGGCGGACAGACAGACTGACCGACGACGAGGGAGTGGCGTCCCGCGGACGCCGGACCATCTGCGGATGGAGGAGAGAGAGAGAGAGAGAGAGAGAGAGAGAGAGAGAGAGAGAGAGAGAGAGAGAGAGAGAGAGAGAGAGAGAGAGAGAGAGAGAGAGATGATGGTCCGGCGTCCCGGAGACGCCAGACCATCGAGCAAACAGTGCTCAGTTAGGGAGAGACAGTTGATGGTCCGGCGTCCCGGGGACGCCAGACCATCGAGCAAACAGTGAACAGTGAGGGAGAGACAGTAGATGGTCCGGCGTCCCGAACACACCAGACCATCGAGCAAACAGAGAACAGTGAGGGACAGGCCAGGCAGGCGGACATACAGACAGACTAATGTCGAAGGTCTGGCGTCCCGGGGACGCCGGACCATCGAAGTCAACAACAAAGACACACACACACACACACAGAGAGAGAGAGAGAGAGAGAGAGAGAGAGAGAGAGAGAGAGAGAGAGAGAGAGAGGTGATGGTCCGACGTCCTGGAGACGCCAAACCAGCGACCAGACAGTGCTCAGTTAGGGAGAGACAGTTGATGGTCCGGCGTCCCGGGGACGCCAGACCATCGAGCAGACAGTGAACAGTGAGGGAGAGACAGTAGATGGTCCGGCGTCTCGAAGACGCCAGACCATCGAGCAAACAGTGAACAGTGAGGGACACGCAGGCAGACAGACAGACAGACTGACGCCGAGGGTCTGGTGTCCCGGGGACGCCGGACCATCGAAGTCAACAACTGAGACACACACACACACACACACACACACACACACACACACACACACACACAGAGGAGAGTCGAGATCCGGCGCATCAACCCAAAAAATCACACAAAAAAAAATTTACAACAACCTATGAGGGGGGATGAATGGAGTGGAGAAAGATCTCGATCTCTCCCCCTCTCTTCCAACCCCCGCCCATGGACAACCCTTGGTGTAGAAGAGAGCTCCACCGGCGATATCTCTTCCCCTCCCTTGCAACCCCCGCCCGCGGCCGGCGGATTTCGAAATCTCTTCCCCTCCCTTCCAACCCCCACCCGTGGCCGCCGGCGAGATCCAATACATCGACCCAGAAAACATAACTGAAAAATTATAGAGATCGAAATCTCTTCCCCTCGCTTCACGCCCCCACCCATTGCCAAGCGCTGGTGTAGAAGACAGAGCCGCCGGCGTTATCTAATATACAAAAAAAAAAGGGAAGGAAGGGAGTGGGAGAGAGATTGAAATCTCTTTCGCTCCCTTCCAACCCCCACCCATAGGCAGGCGTTGGTGTAGAAGAGAGAGCCGCCGGCAATGTCCAATACATCATGCAAAAAAAACATAACAAAAAAAGAGGGGGGAACGAAGGGAGTGGGGAGAGAGGTCTCGATACATCCACGAAATTAGAAACCAAAAAAGGGGGAAGGAAGGGAGTGGGAAGAGAGTCGCCAGCAGGGATCCAATACATCAACCAAAAAAAGGGGCTCCACCGTCGTGATGTGCTGCAGGAAAAAGGAAAAAATGTGAGGGGGGATGAAGGGAGTGGAGAAAGATCTCGATCTCTCCCCCTCTCTTCCAACCCCCGCCCATGGACAGCCCTTGGTGTAGAAGAGAGCTTCGTCGGCGATATCTCTTTCCCTCCCTTGCAACCCCCACCCGTGGCCGAGGGATCTCGAGATCTCTTCCCCTCCCTTCCAACCCCCACCCGTGGCCGCCGGCGAGATCCGATACATCATCCCAAAAAACAAAACTCGAAAAATTCAGAGATCGAAATCTCTTCCCCTCTCTTCCCGCCCCCACCCATTGCCAGGCGTTGGTGTAGAAGACAGAGCCGCTGGCGCTATCCAATCCATCAAACAAATAACAAAACAAAAAAAAAAGGGGAAGGAAGGGAGTGGGCGATATCTCTCCCCCTCTTTTCCCACCCTCGCCCATGTACAGCCCTTGGTGTAGAAGACAGCTCCGCCGGCGGTGCCCAATACATGAGCGAAAAAACGGTGAAAGAAGGGAGTGGAGAGAGATCGAAATCTCTTCCCCGCCCATGGCCGCCGGCGAGATCCATTATATCAGCCCAAAATAACAAAAAAAAAAAAGGGGGAAGCCGTCGGCGATGTCCAATACATCGACCAAAAAAAACAAACAACAAAAAATGGGGGAACGAAGGTAGTGGGAAGAGAGTCGACGGCAGGGATCCAATGCATCAACCAAAAAAAAAAGAGAGGTCCGCTGTCGAAATGAAAAAAAAAAAAAAAACGAGGGAGAATGAAGGGAGTGGAGAGAGATCTCGCTCTCTCCCCCTCTTTTCCCACCCCCTTCCGTGGACAGCCCTTGGTATAGAAGAGAGCTCCGCCGGCGGTATCCAATACATCAGCGAAAAACGGTGACTGAAGGGAGTGGAGAGAGATCGAAATCTCTTCCCCACCCATGGCCGCCGGCGAGATCCATTTTATCAACCCAAAAAAAGAAAACTAAAAAAAAAGTGGGAATGAAGGGGATGGAGAGATTTCTCGATCTCTCCCCCTCTCTTCCCACCCCCACCCATAGACAGCCCTTCCTATGGAAAAATGTGCGCCGGCGATATCCAATACATCAAACAAAACAAAAATCGGGAGAAGCCGCCGGCGATGTACGGTACGTCGAACAAAAAAAACAAAACAACAAAAAATGGGGGAACGAAGGGAGTGGGGAGAGAGATCTCGATACATCAACGAAAACAGAAATGAAAAAAGGGGAAAGAAAGGGAGTGGGAAGAGAGTCGACGGCAGGGATCCAATGCATCAACCAACAAAAAAAAAAAAGAGCTCCGCCGTCAAAATGTACTGCGCAGAAAAACAAAAAAGAAAAAAAAGAGGGAGAATGAAGGGAGTGGAGAGAGATCTCGCTTTCTCCCCCTCTTTTCCCACCCCCGCCCATGGACAGCCCTTAGTATAGAAGAGAGCTCCGCCGGCGGTATCCAATACATCAGCGAAAAAACGGTGAATCAAGGGAGTGGAGAGAGATCAAAGTCTCTTCCCCACCCATGGCCGCCGGCGAGATCCATTATATCAACCCAAAAAAAGAAAACTAAAAAAAAAGGCGGAATGAAGGGGATGGAGAGAGTTCTCGATCTCTCCCCCTCTCTTCCCACCCCCACCCATAGACAGCCCTTCCTGTGGAAAAACGTGCGCCGGCGATATCCAATACATCAAACAAAACAAAAATCGGGAGAAGAGTCGACGATGTCCAGTACATCGAACAAAAAAAACAAAACAACAAAAAATGGGGGAACGAAGGGAGTGTGGAGAGAGATCTCGATACATCAACAAAAATAGGAATGAAAAAGTGGGAAAGGAAGGGAGTGGGAAGAGAGTCGACGTCAGGGATCCAATGCATCAACCAAAAAAAAAGGAAAGAGCTCCGCCGTCAAAATGTACTGCACGAAAAAAGAAAAAAGAAAAAGAAAGAAAAAAAAAAGAGGGAGAATGAAGGGAGTGGAGAGAGATCTCGCTTTCTCCCCCTCTTTTCCCACCCCCCGCCCATGGACAGCCCTTGGTATAGAAGAGAGCTCCGCCGGCGGTATCCAATACATCAGCGAAAAAACGGTGAATGAAGGGAGTGGAGAGAGATCGAAGTCTCTTCCCCACCCATGGCCGCCGGCGAGATCCATTATATCAACCCAAAAAAAGAAAACTAAAAAAACAGGGGGAATGAAGGGGATGGAGAGAGTTCTCGATCTCTCCCCCTCTCTTCGCACCCCCGCCCATAGACAACCCTTCCTGTGGAAAAAGGTGCGCCGGCGATATCCAATACATCAAACGAAACAAAAATTGGGGGCGAGATCCAATACATCAACCCAAAAAACAAAACTCAAAAAATACAGAGATCGAAATCTCTTCCCTTCTCTTCCCGCCCCCACCCATTGCCAGGCGCTGGTGTAGAAGACAGAGCCGCCGACGTTATCCAATGCATCAGACAAATTGCAAAAGAAAAAAAAAGGGGAAGGAAGGGAGTGGGAGAGAGATCGAAATCTCTTCTGCTCCCTTCCAACCCCCACCCATAGGCAGGCGTTGGTGTAGAATAGAGAGTCGTCAGAGATGTCCAATACATCATGCAGAAAAACATTAAAAAAAAAAGGGGGGAAGGAAGGGAGTGGGAAGAGAGTCGACGACAGGGATCCAATGCATCAACCAAAAACAATAGAGAGCTCCGCCGTCGAGATGTAATGTACAGAAAAAGAAAAAACAAAAAAATAAAAAAAAATGAGGGAGAATGAAGGGAGTGGATAGAGATCTCGCTCTCTCCCCCTCTTGTCCCACCCCCGCCCATGAACAACCCTTGGTACAGAAGTGAGCTCCGCCGGCGAAAAAAGTGTGAATGAAGGGAGTGGACAGAGATCAAAATCTCGTCCCCACCCATGGCCGCCGGCGAGATCCAATATATCAACCCAAAAAAAACTATGAAACTGTCCCTTTCGTCTGCATGCTTTACTACCAGGTCGCGAAGAGAGAGTTCGCTATGAAAGTTCGTAGACAATGCATTGACGAGCAAGAAGGGGGTGAATATTGGCTATGGGAGTAGAAGGAGGAGGAGGAAGAAGATGGCGATGGGAAAGGAGGACAGGAGGAAGGAGGAGGAGGAGGAGGAGGAGGCAGATCCGTAAAATGTAGTGAGATGGTACTTCGAGACATCCGTGAAAAGTGGACAGATGCGCGATGGGAGGAGGAGGAAAAAGATCGGGTATGGGAGGGGAATGAGGGGGAATGAAGGGAGTGGATGGAGGGGAATGAGGTGAGTGGAGGAGGAGAAAGATCGGCTATGGGAGGGGAATGAAGGGAGTGGAGGAGGGGAATGAGGAGGAAGAGGAGGAGGGGAATGAGGGGGAATG